ATTCTTTTTTATATATTTGTTTTACATATTTAATTAACTTTGATTTCTAAATATTTTCTAACCAATCATATGTATGGATATTTTCCTCTGTCCTAAGAAATAAACAAATATTCTACGGGAAAATTGTCATCATATTTTTAGACTAATCAATCGAACGAATTATGGTGAAACAAAAAGGTAGAATTTTCTAATATTTAGTTTTGAAAATGTTTTACTTTTTTAATATTTTGATTTACAGGAAAAGGTGCATCAACACATGAATTGATGTTAACAACAATATCTGATGTTGTTAAACAATTAATTGAGGCATATGAACAAGGAAAAGAAATTGATTTAAATAAGTAAATTAATATCAATTTATTGAATAGAATACAATAAAACGAAACCTTTTTGGTTTTCACTAGAGTTAAATGTAAAGCATCAGCAAAATATGGACTTGGTTTACAACCACGTTTAGTTGATATTATTGCTGCAATACCAGAATCATATAAAAAAGTGCTTCTACCGAAAATAAAAGCTAAACCTGTTCGAACAGCTAGTGGTGTAAGATTACTTAATCAAATATTCTGTGTAACTTTTGTTTTTATTTTTATTAATAATTAGATTGTTGTTGTTGCTGTTATGTGTAAACCTCATCGATGTCCTCATATTGCTATGACTGGCAACATTTGTGTATATTGTCCTGGTGGACCAGATTCTGATTTTGAATATTCAACACAATCTTATACAGGATATGAAGTAAATATTAAAAGAATATAAGTAGTGATTAGTTGAACACTAATATTTTCATATAAATTAATTTTTTTCTTTCGCTAGAGTACATGAAATATTGATGAACTTTTGCATAAATGTTTGATTCATGGAAATACATTATTAAAACACATCATGTCTTCATATCTTACCGTTCATGAGATTTTCAGGGATCAATCTGCAGAACTCGGGTAGTTTTCATTCGATACAGAACTTGTTGCCACTTCGAATGATGAAAAGACTGTGTCTTTTTATTCTTTTTTACTCTAGTTCATTCTTTTGGATCATTGCAATTTGAAAAATCTGAAACTTCCAGACATGGTTTTCTGGAAAAATTAGGGTTTATCTAGCAGTGACGACTAATTTGAAATTCTTCCCGTTTATCTGAAGGATTATACATATACCTATCGATTAGAAAAGCACAGCTCTCTGAGATGAAGTATTTTGAGAAAAATACTAAAGAATTTTTTTAATGGTCTTTCGATGATTACGTAAAATAGAGGTGAAGCATAAATGTATTAAATGTCAATTGGAGCATTTATCTATATACATTAGACTGTCCTTGTACGACATATATCATCTTAGATGATGATATCTACGATTGCTTTAATATTTTTTTAAAACCATTCAATAACGTAATCAAGACTGATTATGATGGTTAAATTTTATAGCTTAATAAAATATGGTATTTTATTCTATATGAAACATACACTTTGACGATATCTATATGAGTAAAGAGAAGACCTACATGCACACTTCCATAACATCGTAGGTCAATAGTATCTCTAAGGTACCTAAGATTTGATTACTTTTGAAAAATATTTTGATTATTTTACAGATGTTCCTCTACTAAAAAAAGAATTCTACTGATTGCTCTAGATATCAATATTTTTTCATATAGTTTCAAAGATCATTCATAACATCTTCGAGAGCGAAAAACCATTTTTCGATGAAAATCAAGTGTACTTAGGGATAAGAAGGCTTAGAAAACTTTGATCAAAATTTGCGAAATAGTTTTTAAACTAAAAAGTTTGATGAATAATTGTTATAAAAAATTTTCCTTTGAATCATTCAACTTGAATCTTTTTCTTTTCTTCAAAAAAGATAATATCAAAGTTGGATATTGTTTTGCATGTGTACTATACCGAAGCTAGGTCTCTTTTATCTTATTTCATTGTCATAATTGAATTTTACTTTAAAGTTTTAATTGATCATATGTTAGACTTTAGTAAACGTATGTGTTACTATAAATCAATATTTTATTTATATTTCTCTTCATAAAAATATTACTATTGTAATTTTTGAAGTTTATATTTACTTGTTTCTTTTTTGTTTAGCCAACATCAATGCGAGCTATTCGAGCACGATATAACCCATATTTACAAACAAAACATCGCCTCGAACAAGTATGTTCATATGTTTATCATGATAAAATAAATCGAATTATTTTATATTTAGTTAAAACAACTTGGACATAATATAGATAAAATAGAGTTTATAGTCATGGGTGGAACATTTATGTCATTGCCAGAAAGTTATAGAGATTATTTTATTCGAAGCTTACATGATGCTTGTTCAGGTCATACCAGTAGTAATGTTACTGAAGCGGTTAGGTAGGACTTTCGTTTTTTTAATTACTGATTAAATAAATATATTTAGTATTTTGTTTCTCATAGATATTCTGAATGTAGTAAAACAAAATGTATTGGTATTACAATTGAAACTCGACCCGATTATTGTCTCAAAGCTCATTTGAGGTATAGAAATAAATAGTTGAAAAAAGAAAAGTTCATTGAATTTTACTTTTATTTTGCTAAGTGATATGCTTGCATATGGATGTACGCGTCTTGAAATTGGTGTTCAAAGTGTTTATGAAGATGTCGCTAGAGATACAAACAGGTTGGTTCATAGAAACAAAAGAGTGAAATTTAATTTTCTACTTATTCAGCTAGGATAACCAATAAGTGTCTAGTGAGTGCACCAAACTGACAAGGGAACTTTTCCAGTGCTTTGGTTTTCTGAGCTTTCTTGAGATATTGAAGTTCTATTGGGTTATCTAACAAAAAGCTGTATTTACGTGAAAAATCGATTTTCGAGTTTTGTCTTCCAATTTATTACGAACAAAGTTCTCAATGAGATTGGTTCATTAGCTAAGTTGTAGCTTTCTTTGTATCTCCTAGTCTGAGATAGTTAATATTCGAAATTCTCTAATATGTAAAGACAAATTTTGTTTATATATTTACATCTGCAGAAAGGAAATAGTAGGAAAGACTAAAACTTACCGAATGAACTGATCTGATTAAGAACTTTGATTCTGCAAAGTTTGAAGTCGAAAGTCAGTTTTACACATGACCATAGTTTTCTATTGAAAAACCCAATAAAATTTCGATGTGTCAACAACAAAAGTCTTGAAACATCGAACTATTCTAGACTTTTCTATTACCAATGAGTATCGTCTTAATCGAAAAACAATTTGATACCTAGAGAGATTCCCTTGTGAGATAAGTCTAAATTCTAATGCTAATTAAAACCATTTTAGATTAAATCAAATGACTTATATTTTTCTTTTTATTACAGAGGACATACTGTAAAAGCAGTAACTGAATCATTTCGAATGGCAAAAGATTCTGGTTTTAAAGTTGTTTCACACATGATGCCCAATTTACCTAATGTGGACCTTGAACGTGATCTTGCTCAGTTTAAAGTAATATTTTTTTTTTGTTAATTCTACTTTCACTTTGCATAGTTTTTATCTAAAGGAATTTTTTGAAAATCCAGAATTTCGTCCTGATGGTCTTAAACTTTATCCAACACTTGTTATTCGTGGCACTGGTAAAATTGTTCTTTAATTTTATTTCATCGAATATATATATTCTTTTTTTTATCGATAAGGTCTATATGAATTATGGCGAACAAACCGTTATGCAAGTTATTCTCCTTCAGTTCTTGTTGATTTAGTTGCTCGAATTCTGGCACTTGTTCCGCCATGGACACGTGTTTATCGTGTTCAACGTGATATACCAATGCCACTTGTGACATCTGGCGTTGAACATGGTAATTTACGTGAACATGCTTTAGCACGTATGCGTGATTTAAATTTGGAATGTCGTGATGTTCGTACACGTGAAGTTGGTATACAAGAAATTCATAATAGAATAAAACCAGAACAAGTTGAACTTATACGACGAGATTATGTTGCAAATGATGGTTGGGAAACATTTTTATCATATGAAGATCCTGAACAAGATATATTAATTGGTTTATTACGTTTAAGAAAATGTACGAATGAAACATTTCGAACAGAATTAAAACGAGGACAAGTATCAATTGTTAGAGAACTACATGTTTATGGAAGTGTTGTACCAGTACATGCTAAAGATCCATCAAAATTTCAACATCAGGTTTGTTAATTAAATTTAATTAAATATTTTTATATCATATATCATCATAGGGATATGGTATGTTACTGATGGAAGAAGCTGAAAGAATAGCATTGGAAGAACATGGTTCATGGAAAATTAGTGTTATATCAGGTGTTGGAACAAGAAATTATTATCGTAAATTGGGTTATGAACTGGATGGACCATATATGTCGAAAGTTCTTGGTCCAGAACCAGTTTAAAATGTTGATTTTTCTTTTGTTTGTTGTGTTTTTTTTATACATACCGGTGTTTCTTTTTTAAAAGTTTTTCATGTGTATGTTTTGTTGATTTATTCGTTAATGAACGTAAAAATTTTTAAAAAAGAAACTTCTTTTGTTTCCTTTCAAGAAAAATTTATCATTTTAAATAATAGAGAGTGAAAACAGTAACATGAAACGGCATATTCTTTTCTCTTTTTTTTCTGTTCTCCATCCATTCGTATAAATCGGGAGGCCGCACAAGTCGGCATGATATTAATGTAGTCCACGTTTTTCTCTGACCACAAAGAAAGAAAAGAAAGACAGAGTGCAAAAGAAAGGAAGAGCGAGAGAGAGAGAGAAAGAAATATACTTATGCCTCGTCATATAGTCGTTCCGTCTTATACACACTAGCGGAGGCAACGAACATTTAGAAATTTTCTTTTGTTTATTTTCACACATACACCCTCTATTGAATTCACATTCTAATCGAAATGAATGCATATCATATATAAAGAATAAATTTTAGTTATCTATAGTCCGCGCCAAATTCTATGATGATCATGTTCTTTTTTTGTTTTACGGCATGTCCACATTGATTAGTTGTTTGTTATTATTTTAGATACTTTATATGAATAATCAACGAAATAATAACGCCCAAGTGGATGATGATGGTCGAGGACCAAACCAACCACGATTCCATCGTCCACGAAATTTTTATCGCAAACGACCTGGTTTGAAAATAAAAATAAAAAAAGTTTTATTGTTATTTACCAATATTTCAATTGAATAGGTAGTGGACGACAAAATCAAGATTTAGGTGAAGATGAAAATCGTGCATCAAATGATGATGACACACAACGATCGAATAATTCTGATGATAATAACAATTATGATAATGAAAATACAAATAATTTTCGTGGTATTTTCAAATTTTAATAAAATTTTAATAATTTGTTTCTTTACAATTTTATTCAAAGGTCGTGGTCGTGGTGGTTGGCGAGGTTTTCGACGTGGTCGTGGTAAGATAATTGTTTTTCGTTTATTTATTTGAATATAATTCATTTTTATTTAGGTCGAGGACGTTTTAATCGTGGTAGACCATTCTATGGAAATTTTCGTCGCGATTTTTCACCTTATTCAAATTATATAAATGGACCCGGAGGTAATTATGGACCATCCGGTGGTACGTATAATATACTTTATGTTTGAATTTGTTATTATCTTCTTTTTATAAAGGATTCTATGGCGCTCCAGCTCAATTCTATCGTCCACCGTATCGTGGTCGTGGTTATCAACCACCCGGTGGTTATGGTCCAAGTGGTGATCTATCTGAACAAGAAGGTTTTAATGATTTTCCGATGCGTGGTAGTAATCGAGGTTTTCGTCGTGGTCGTGGACGTGGCCGAGGACGTGGTTCAGGGCGAGGACGAGTATCACAAAATGAAAAGTTTGTGTTAAACTCAAGAAACAATTTTCTTTTTGTTTTATCAAACAATGTCTTTTGTTTTAAGTGTTGATACTTATCAAAAAGAGAATCAGTATGAACAACAACAACAAGGTGATAATGCTGAAAATAATACGAATAATAATGTACGACGTAACTCCAATCGTCGTCAGCGTCGTAGACAGACCAATGATGAAGGTTCTGGTGCCGAACAGCAAAATGATGGGTAAAAGATGTTTTTATTACAAAAAATAAATTCTTTTTGTAAATTTTTTTTATTAAATTCAAACTTGAAGTGCTGCTACTGATGATCAACAACACGATGAAAATAAAGGTTCTGTTCGTCAACAACGGAAACGATCTAATCGTCGGTAAGAAAAATTGATCAAACTTTTCTTTTTGTTTTTTTCTTATTATTTTATTTTTTCAAGACGACGTCGTAATACCAATGCCAGCCAAAGTGGTGCAGAAACTGAAGAACGTATGTAAATTTTTTTTTTGTTTTTGAAATTATCATTTTATCTGTATATAAAATCCTTCTAGAACAAGCCCGTAAACCTAAAGATGATGAAACAATAGTTAGAAATGTTGTTCGTAACATGGTTAGTAAAGTAGCTCGTCGTTTAGCACCAAGAAATCGTCGACGAAGCCGAACTAATAATCAAGAAACTGGTGCAAATAATGATTATCAACAACAAGATAACCAAGATAATACTGATGTTGATCAACCACAAACAGGATATCCACGCCGTGGTCGTGGTCGACGTGGTTATCGAGGTGGTGGTTATTTCATGGAACAAGGTAAATATTAAACTTAACGAGATTTGCTCTATTTGAACGCGTTTTTTATATATATTAGGCTATTATGATCCATATGGCATGTCACCATATTATTATGGTGCGTATTATGGTTATGGTGGACGAGGATATCGTGGTCGTGGTGAGTTGAATTCTTCAAAAAAATTGAAATTTTAGAAGAAATCTTCTATTTTGTTGAAGGTCGTGGCCGTGGTGGCCGTGGTCGTGGGCGTTTCCGTCAACGAGGTACATTTGAGAATTAATTTGTTTGCTAAATGAGTGATGTTTGTTTCTTTTTTTTAAGGATTTAATAAAGAGAATCAACAACCCCATGATGATCAACAAAATAACAGTGAAGAAGGAAAAAACGTAGAATCAAATTCAGCCGGTGATGCTCCTCAAGCTCAACGTCAACAAAGTAAAACAACAATCGCTGAACAAGTCAATCAATCTACAGCATCTGGTGACTCCAGACAACAATAGATGAATTTCTTCCTTTTTTCTTTCATTTTTTTTTTCGTTTCCCATTGTCCCAACATTTTTCTTTTCTGCGTTTGAGAATAAAGCTTTTTTTCTTTTACTGATGTTGTTCTTGCATTCATCTATATCATCCAAAAAAAAGTTCTTTTGTTTCTTTCCGGTGTTCTGTTTTAACTTGTTTTTTTTCTTGCTGTGTATCTGTTTTTTTTTGATTTATTCTGTCTGTCATCATCTGTAGACAGTATTAAACGCATTCATATGACTTAACTCTGTAAGTGTGTGCGTATGTTTTTTTCTTCTATTTCATGTGTAAATGTTTGTCCATCTCTATTATGTAGATGTGATCATCTTTTATTCTAATAACATATTAGAAATAAGATTGATCATAAGCGCACAACAACCAAGATTTTTTTTCTTTTCTGTCTTTATTCGTTCTTTTGTCTCGTTGAAATAAAACAAGGAAAACAACAAAAAACTTTAAAAAAAATGAAACCATGGATGAATAAGGAAGTTTTTTTTTCTTTATCTAATGTGAAAAACGATTAAGCATAACAATGCAAAATACAAATAAAAAACAGATAAACGAAAAATTATATTGTATTTAATTTTGTTGTTATTAAAACACGAACTGTTTGATCAAATGCTGATGTACAAGCTAAGCCAGCCTTATCTAGACTCCAATCAAAACCACTTGCTGGTTGACTTGATAAGCCAATGTTTTGAAGAAGAGTTAAAGTACCAGCTACACCCATTTCAGTTTTATCAGATTGGGTCATAACACGGTTTTCTGGATAATTACTAAATAAGAAAAGAAAATGATCATTTCATAAGGTCAAGTATATCAGAAAACAAATGTTAATTGTATATCAATGATGCTAAGGATTCATCCTCTTGTAGACCTAGTGAATAGAATTTTAAGATCTTTCCTCGTCAAAAAAATTGAATGTGAGATAAATACATAGAAAGATAGCTTGAGGTCTGATCTTTCACAAATGACATGTTTTTTTTTAAGTCGCACATTGATTTTAGTCAAGCTTTTTGATGATTTCTATTGCTATTTGATTGAAAAATGTATTGTTTTTAGAAACAGCGGAAAGTTTTGTTCATTGCTTGTCTGTTTATTTGTTTTTAAGCTGCAGTGCCTGTTTTTTTGAATTAGGTCTACATAATATGTAAAGATTTAAAACAAGACGCTGCAAGGCAGTGCAATCTAGCATACGCTTTTAAATAAAAAACAATTGAAGTTTTAAAATGAGGATATACAGCTGTTTTTGGTCCTTGCTGTTGAATATCTCCTAAAAATATCATGCTATAAAGCTGAAAATTTAAACATATTCTTAACAAATCTTGAAAATTTCATGTAATTTGAATATATCTGACTCAAAATCGATTTTTTGAGAAGTCTTATAAAATTCGATTATTGTAAAGCTTGAGATTTTCCTAGTTTCCATAAACTCAATATCGAACTTTTTCTTAATTTAAGACCAAACACATTACTCTAGATCGATTATTCAAACGTAATCTTAAACTTTTTTTCCATATTTGATTTATGGATATTTCTATTTCTATGTTGTTTTTTTGCACTTACTATTTCCAAAGATAATATGAACCTGAACCTCCACATGTCATAAATATATCACGATTTTGTGGTAAATGTCGACCAAGCCAAACAGTAGAATTATGAGCCTTGAAATAAAAACAAAAACAAATTAACATTTGAAAACAAAATAATCAAAATTTAATCTTATACTTTTTCCACAACAGATGCAAAACCTTTTTCATTATGTTGAGTTTTCATATCAAATACATGTATTTTACTTTCTAATGTTGTTGCAACAAGTTTATTCATTTCGATATCTTTTCTATCAAATTCTAAGCAACATACCTAAATAAAGCAATTAATTCTCTACTCAATAAACACAAGATTAAAATTCAAATAATCGAACCCCATTTTTAATATTTGTTTCCCATCGAAGAGACATTGTTCTTAAATCAAATAATTTCACATCTCCATTATCATAACCAGCACAAACAACTCGTTCACTGGTATTATAGGCATTTCCAAAACAAACTGCCCAACAATCACGTTTTGTTTCACCTTCAGCTGGTTCCATACTAGCTACAGCTGCATCAGCTTGTCTTGTATCCCATATATGTACTGTACCTGAATAAAAAAAAGGAAAAAAAACAAATTAATCATACAGCAACAAAAAAAAACGATATTAAACAAATATACCATCTCGACTAGCTGTTGCTATTTCTGGCGCACCTTCACCAATACCTAATCCACCAACACCATCAATAGCATTTATTATTTCTTTATGACCTTTGACTGAATAAATTGGTTTATCAATTTTTTCCAAATCCCTAAAATCATATTATAGATACAAAAGAATACTATAAATAATTTGAATGTTTTTTTTTTTACCAAACTTGAATATAACCATCAAAATTTCCTGTTGCTAAATGTCGTCTTTCTCGTGTTGGTGAAGCTCCAAAGGTTCCACATTTAAAAGCTGAAGGTTTTTCATACTGGAAAAAAATATTCAATAAAAATTAGTTTTAGATAATAAAAAGAAAATTTTTTTTCTGTATATACTTGTGATATAAGTGCAATATCTCCATGTGTTATTTCAAATATATCCAAGGCACCTGTTCCACGTGCATGATTACCAAGTGAAATAAATTTTGCTGATGTTGGAATCCATTTAACATCAAATACTGTATAATTAACAGACTTTTGACTATGTAAAATAATTTGTGGCTTATCCATGAGATTAAGAAAATAGAAAACAAGTAAAGATTGATTTTTCTAGTTAATAGTTTGTTGTTGTTATCGCCATACTTGACAACAATTTTATATGTTCACTGTCACATTCCATAGAATAAACTATGGATTCATGCTGATTACTGGAGTTGTTTTTCTTTTGTTTTGCTCATCAATTTATCGTCGAGAAAATGGCGATTGTAGTTGAACGTACTGTAACTGAATCTATCGATGATCTTGTTCGTGAAGCTGAAGCATTAAAATCTCGACTTGAAGAAGAAAGAGCAAAATTTAATGATATGGAATGTAAATAACGAGTTCTTTTTTTTTAAATTGTTCATTATTTAAAATGAAATTTTTTTTTCTGTAGTAACAACTGTTGCTGAAAAACTTGATCCATTACCACCATTTGCAACAAAATCACGACGAATTTTAAAAGGTCATCAAGGAAAAGTATTAGCTCTTGATTGGTGTAATGACAAACGGCACATGGTTAGTACGTCACAAGATGGAAAATTAATTATTTGGGATGCATTTACAACAAATAAAGAAGTTTGTTTGATTGTAATATAAAAGAAAAAATTTCATTTTTATTGATTTTTTAAGCATGCAATTACAATGCCAACAACATGGGTATTAGCTTGTGCTTATTCACCATCAGGAACAACTGTTGCTTGCGGGTATGTAATATGAATAAAAAAAGAATTATTTAGTTTTTAATTTATTTTATATAGAGGATTGGATAATAAATTAACATTGTATCCATTAAATGCTGATGATGATGCAAATAAATATAAAAAGGTTGTTGCAACACATTCCAGTTATATATCATCATGTAAATTTATGCATTCAGATCAACAGGTAGTTATTTAAAATTGAACACGAAATCTTTTCAGATTATCATGATTTGTTTTTTAAATGTTAAAAGATTATCAGTTATCTTTTCTTCCAACCATAGTCTCCAGTCTGACATATAATCGAAGAAGAAACTGATAGTTGCGATATTTTGAAACACGCATATCTTATAGTATTGATTATAAATGTTTAATAAATCAATTTTTTTTGTATTATATTTTAGCTTTTAACAGCTAGTGGTGATAGTACAGCAAAATTGTGGGACATAGAAAGTAGTATAGCAATACAAACATTTCAAGGTCATCAAGCTGATGTAATGGATATTGATATATCACCATCGGAAGCTGGAAATATTTTTGTATCTGGAGTATGATAAATTTCTAATGTTTTTGTTTTTATACAAAACGAAAACATTTTTATTAATTTGTTGTTTAGAGTTCTGATCATATAGTGATGGTATGGGATATTCGAACAGGTGGTTATGTTCAAACATTTGAAGGCCATGAATCAGATGTAAATGCTGTTCGATTTTATCCAAGTGGTGATGCATTTGTTTCTGCATCTGATGATGCAACTGTAAGAGAGGAAAAATATTTATTTTATTTTAAATTTTCTTTTATTTTCATATTATAGTGTCGTCTTTTTGATTTACGTGCTGATCGACAAGTTGCTATATTTAAAAAAGAATCAATTATTTTTGCTTGTAATGCTGTAGATTTTTCATTAAGTGGTAAGAAATATTTTTAAAAGTTAACTTTTTTTTCTAAAAAAAAAAGTTTATTTCGAATATTTTTTAGGTCGACTTCTTTTTGGTGGTTATAGTGATTATTGTGTTAATGTTTGGGATACATTAAAAGGATCACGTGTAGCTACTTTATATGGTCATGAAAATCGTGTTAGTTCATTGAAACTTTCACCTGATGGCACTGCATTGGGTACGGGTTCTTGGGATTGTACAATTCGAGTAAGATTTTGTTTTTCTTTTATTCTTTTCATTGAATTTTTCAAAACACAATATCTTTGATTTTTGTTTAAGGTATGGGCTTAATTGTTGATAGTTTATTTTTTTTTGTCAAATTCAATAGCAATGAAGAAGTATTATGTGTGTTTTTTTTCTTGCGTATCTCTGTATGTGCTTGTTCGACTCAGACTAAAAAAAAATGAAAATTCTAGTCAATGTTGTTTTGTAATCGATGTTTTTATTTTGTATTTTATTTCTTGTATGAAAAGTAATATTTATTTGAATAAATACGTATTTCATTGAAATTTAATAGCTCTTGTCATACAACGATTGATACACCACTTGTATGAATATATATTGTTTTTTAACTCTATTATCGGAAACTAAAGATATATAACATGACAACAAATATAATGCTAATAAACGATAATCGAAAACGATTTGCCGAGAAATGAAGTAGTACTATTCTTTTCTTAGTTCTTCCTTTTTTTTCTCCAGTATTTTTACTACTATACGTAAGTTCGATTGTCTGCACTTAGATGAGACGAAGAAAAATCTTGGAGTGAAGTTTTGATGTTCTTGTTAGTATTAGTACGAATGTTAACCAAAATAAAATATGAAACAAATAAAAAGAAGAAGACGAAGAATATCTCAAGGACCGACCGAGTATAAGTACGAGCACTCGATTATAATAGACAATTTTTCTGCTGTTCAAGTATATCTAACAGAAAGGTTTCTAATAAAAAGAAAATCTTATAAAATTTAATTTTCTATTTAATAATAAAATCAATAGAGAAAAAACAAAAATATAAATCAACTAGTAAGCACTTTTTTCCGAAAAAAACAAGTAAGTTTAAAAAGTTTTATGTTCATCAATCATAAATCTTTATAGAAATAAAAAGAAAATCAATCAAACTATTTTCTTTTTAATTATACAAAAAAAACAATTTCTAATCTATGTAAAATAAAACAAACACTAATCCATATATATATATCCTTCATGATACTGATTCATTGATGTGTATAAGTCTACCAAAAAAAACCTAAACTATGATATTCAATATTCTAACTGGTCTCGGACCATTCGATTTCATTTGTGAACTGAAATCTACACGTTTTTCTCTCTCTATCAAAGCACAATTTTGTTATCGTAATGTTTATGTAGAACTTTGATTATATTACCTAACTCATGGGAAAAGATGTACTTGCTTTGTTTCTCTCTTTACGCTTATAGTTAGACTCACATGAGAGTAATAACTGACAACATATCACAAACTCTATACGGCTTATTTGATCAACTTCATATTTTTAGATGTAACATAATGTAAATCTATAGAAACAGATATTTTTCAACAGATGTAAGCAACAGAAACATTTTTTTAAATAAGTAAATATATTATTGAGTAAACGCAGAATTTCTGTTTCTATTTTTTTTTTCTCCTTTGTTTCCGTATCGAAAACAAGTCAAGATCAGTGAATATACATGTAGTAGTTCTTTTCGATAGATGACAGACGACTCTAAATAGATTATTGCGTTCAATCAACTAGAATCGAGAGGGAATTGAATTCGGCATACTCGCATATATACTCAGTCCAGCAAATAAAATAATAAGTTAGAATGTATACGTCATGACATTTACATTCATTTAGTTTTTAGATTATTGTATATTGCTTTTTTGATGATCTAACAGAAAAAAAGTTTTTCACTCGTTTTTTTTTTCCTTTTTTTAAAAATATTTATTAAGTTTATTTTTGATGACGAATCTTGAAATAATGTATTCAACAGTTAATAAAAACGAATACAAGAGACCGAGTGGCCCTCAAGCATTAATCATATTGTCGAAGCTCTGCCAAATTCACTGAAGCAAATTTCCTTTCTCTCGAACTTTCCTCCTATGATCTCTTTAGTATATGTTTTATTTATATTTCAAAATTAGATATTTAAGATGTTATATATATATATATATATCATCTAAAGAGAAACAAATCATAAAAATAACGTAAGTAAATAAATGCTTTTTTTCTTTATTGAAATATGTAAGTAATAAATGCCAAAAAAAGAAGAAAGGAATTGTTCTATATCGTCATAGAATCTAATCGACAATTTATCTATAACTAAATTTCAAGATAGACCAGATCGACTTTTCTCTATTTAGTTGTCAATGAATAAAGAACATATGACATAAAGTGCTTTTTTTTCTCTCTTTTTTTCCTTGTCTTATTTTTTCCCTTCAGTAAATGCTTCTTTTATAAATTCTATTCGTTCGTCTAACAACACAATTAATAAAGAGACTGAAGAGCTAATACATCAACGGAAAGAATAAGTAAGCTTCAAATAATTCATTTTTTTTTTTGTATTGTAAGATTTATGTTTCATAATTCGAAATCTCAATTGTCTTTTATTGTTATAATCTATCGAAGACATATATCATTTTTCATTTTCTAGATTATTAATTCAATGATGAAAATTATTTTAATCTAAACAGAAATAGTTAAATATTATATCGATCAAATGGGTGACGACTTATTGATTTGTTTTGCATCATGTCAAAATACTAATAATAGTGGTGCTTTTGTTGGAAATGATTCGTACGATTTAGAATGTATAACACAATGCTCACAAATTGTTCCAACATTATATCAGCATACATCAGAGAAGTATATAAAAGACATATTGATTATAATAACAAAAAACGAATATTAGATACTTTCATAGAACTATGAAAAGAAATCGACTTTCCATTCACTTCAGGTTTTAGTAACTTTATTGACTTAAGTTGAATTTTTTCCTTAATTGGTCTTTGTATTGATGCAAGATAGAAAACATAATGGATCTAAACATCATAATGGAGACGAAACATCTGACGCCTTAGTGCGAATTGACAAGCAAAGAAACATGCCCTTTACAATACGTCAAGTGTTTTATCTATAAAGATAATGTTGAAGAAAATGGAGGTACTTAAAAACTGAAAATGTTCCTTTTTTTAAGTTCACACTATCCCTTGGTACATCCAAAGATTCCATTTTCGTCAAACTTTTAAATTTTGAGCGAAATATATGAGAATGTTGATCAGGATATCTATGATATATATATATCCATAAAAATACTTCTATTCTTATTTTGAAAAGTTTCAAGGAGATGTGCTCAAAGTTTCTGAAGTCCTATGTATAAATATTCTTAAGTGAATCTAAATAAAACATAAAACTTTGAATAACTCCATTGACTATTAATTGTATGTATAATTTAGAGCACACTCTCACATACCTTGACGGGTTTTGATAAATGATATATCGAATAGACATATATCATATTGATATTGGATAATAAGTAGATAACATCAAGAAGAAAAAGTTCTTTTGGTTTTTCTCTAAACCCATTGTTGTGTGAACGAAGAATGACAGAGCAAAGTCTATTTCAATGTGTTCTTTTTTTTTCTAGAGAACTGCGTTTTCCTTCGTTCGATAGTATAATACCGGTTCCCTCACATAAGGAAAAAAAAGATTTGTCCGTTTGGATCAATAAATAGAAATTGGCTGAAGTTTCTTTTAGAAAACTCGAGGTATTGTTGGTAAAATTTCCAGGCGTCTAATTTATTCCAAGATCTGTAGCTGGAAATTTATTAGGAATAAAAATTGCAGGCACAACAGGTTCATTTAGAATCATAATTTCTGTAAAAGCTCTTGAAGCTTGCAGTTCGGAGACATAAAAGAAATCTCGTAAGTTTACTCATTATTGAAAATTGCTTTTTGAATATGAAGAAGTGTTTTAATATCAAATATATATATATATATACATATATATATTTATTATTTTTTTCTAAGGTATACATATATATTTAAAATAATTGCTGTTGTTCTTATTACATTTGGTTTAATTGGCAAAGTTTTTAATTGTATTATTTTTCTTCGAAAACCGGTTTGTATTCTATTTATATCTGTAATAAATTTTCTAATGAAATTTATTTTGTTTATATAAATTTAAGCTTCGTGGTACATCAACTGGTTTACTTCTATTCTTAAAAACCATATTCGATTTTGTTCCACTTGTATGGACATTTGTGTTTGATACAAAATTTTTTGTTGAAGATGAACAAATAAATGGTTCGAGATTAATATGTACATTATCACGTAGTAGTGAAATATTTGTTTCATGGTCAATTGGTTTTGTTATACTTGCTTGTACAGTACGTCTTGCTACAATATTACATTCAAAATATTTACCACAGCCAACACGTTTTCGTGTATTTATACTTATTTTATTAATGATGTTATGTGGTCTTATGTATAATTGGCATGTTTTTTATTATCCAAGTCTTGTTCAAACAATTTTAAGTGAACATAAAAATCGTACATTTACTTATTGTAATATCTTATTTGGACGTCAAATAGGATATTTTTCATATGGTGGTTTTCAATCTACACAAGAATTATTATATAATGCTCCAGTAGTTAATTTTATTGTTTCATCATTAATTCCATTTGCAATAGTTGCATCAACAAATATTGTTATTATTGTACGTGTATTAAAAAATCCAACATCAAATCATCTAACAAAAATGAATTCTATTAATAATGGTTATTGTAATCAATCAGTAAAACATTTTCGTAATTCAGATACAATGCGTTCATCATTAAAAACGCCAACAAATATAACCAAAAAAGATGTTAGTTATGAAACAACAATAACATTAACAACAAGTTGTGTATTTTTAACAACAAATAGTATAGCAAGTACTTATGTGTATGTTAAATCAAGTCATCGTTCAAATCGTTCACGTTTAACAGAAGATGTTAAAACATCAAATGTTTATCTTATTTTACGTATGTTAACATTAATTGATACAGTTTTAGAATTTTATATTTATTTTTTAACGGGGAAAAAATTTCGTCAAGAAGTTTGTCATGTTATTCGTGAAATTTTTCAACATACACCATTAAGACATTTTTTTAAATTTACACGTTTAACAAATAATGATACAAATAATGAACGACAACAAAAAAAACTATCTGAAAAACAACTGCAACAAGAAAATCATACACATTATTTAAATTTAATACAATCAGCAACAACAACAACAACGACGACA